ACCATCTGTTTGGACAGTCGGTTTGGACCACAAGCTCCTGCATCTCTGCCCAGGTGTACACAAATAGAGCAGCTGTTCAGAGGGATGTCGCAGGGTCCTTCGGGTGCCCAGAAAGGTGAGGCAGAGCAGGCTGCAGAGGCTGAGAACAGGCACCCAGGTAACACCCGGCCACGGAGCTGCCCTGGCCCTGGCCCATCTCCACTCACAGCAGCGCAGCAGCAGTGTGGAAACCAGCAAGCCCAGGCAGCTAGTGCTAACTAGTTTGGTGCTGGTGAGTCAGTTATCCAGCAGGTGACCGCAGACATCTCCAATAACATAATGAGGTGGGTTTGCTGTGATTTGTCTGCATCAGGAGCATCCCACGGAGGCATTGGTGGGAAACTGCCCCAGACCACACGTGGCCCAAGACATGGGGCGTGGGGAAGGTGGGGATGCCCCGTGCGTCCATCTGTGCCACACATGGCGGTTTTCATGAGCGAGCGCCAGCTGACGCACGTGCTGCTCTGTGGTTAGTAAGAGGCCATGGCACATGGCGCATGAGGGGTTTGCGGTGCCTGTCACACTAGCGGTTTAAAAATCTAGGGTGAGAAACGACCAGTCTCAGTGGGGTCTGCAGTGTAGGTGCGTTTTATAGATTGCTTTACAGAGAGTTGATTTCTTTGCCCAACTAAATCTCAAACAGAGGTGTCAGCACTAGCCTGGTTGGAAGTGCCGTGGCACTGGTCTGGGGAGGTCGCTTGCTGGGTTTTTTTATGCATCTAAAATCTTTTGGCGTCATGCATGACTTCTTGTTCCCGCCCCTTGAAGGAGTAACAGCAAACGGGGAAAAAGGAAACTTCAATCAAGGCACAGTCTGGAAAGGCAAATTGTCGGCTAGACAAAAGGCCAGGGAGGACAAAGCGGCAGCTTTGGTGCTCCTGCTTCTTGTTGGCTGTGCAGAGGCGCTGGGCAGCACCGGGCTCTCTGTTCCCAGGCAAGCTCAGGTGTCGCAGATGTCCAGCCTCCGCTGGAGACATTCGAATCTCGTTCCTGGAGTTTAGGCTCGGCTCTTGGACCGGGCACCACAGCTCTGCTCCGAGCTGCGCCCCACATGCACAGTCCCATCCGCAGCATGGCAGGGAGCCTGGACAGGCTGGGGGGCAGCTGGGAGGATTGTTCAAGAGCAAAGTGGTGTGGAAGTGATGCAACATGGTTGAGAGCATGGGAGCTCTCATTTCGTCCCCGTCTGCAGCTGGCCTGCAAGCTGCAGATGCAATTCCTCTTTCCTCCGATCCTCACCTCCCTCCGGCCTTGTTGTCTGCTTCTGCAGGCTCTGGCAGACAAAACGGCTCTTCCATGCTGCTTTTTTGTTGCAATTAGCACCTGGGCAACAGCTATGTATGAGGCACGTCTGGGGCTGTGGGGCAAAGGCAGGCTCAGAGCAGAAGTGAGAAGAGACAGAAATACCATGGGTGTTAGCACGCTGAAGGTAGAACTGAGAAAGCAAGAGGCCAGGCTGCATGGGCAGGAGAGCCACCCAGCTGCTTAGGGACCGGCGAGAAGAGGGCTGGGGAGCCGGGCAGCCTCCTCCACTGCACCGCAAGAGCCAGCCGGAGCTGGTCAGTGAAGCCCGGCCACCAGGGACAACCCAGCGCAGGAGGAGGAAGTGATTCGCTTGATGTTTTAGCCAACCTTTGTGTTGAAGAAGCAAACAACACGTTGGCTATATCCACAAGCCCTCCCCAGGCTAGGAACACAGGTCAGATGCCCTGTAAAGAGGGTTTGCTGGGGTTTCTGAGGTACCACCGAAACAGACTCCAATAACCTTGAGAGGAGCGCAAGTAGCACACTGCCAGTCTCTCCGGGCATCTATTCCTTCCTCCCACCCTCCAGGTCTGCAAACGCTTGAATTAAATGGGACCTGTGGGCACATCTGAATCAAGATCCTTGTGCTGTGTGCCCGCTGCAGCCTGCGGAGACCCCCGGCAAGGTGCCTGCGGGTCTCTGGGGACTGCGAGGGTCCCTTGGCAGCCTCCCTGCGTCCA